GCGCCAACACTTCATCGCTCGAGGACGAGGTGGAGGCCAATGAGAACAGAGCTGACGGCAAACACACGCCGACCCCTCCCAAGTCGGGCGCCGGTAGCGGTGGTAGACCTGAGGCAGACTCCCGGAGCCCAGCGACCAAATCGTCGGCTAAAAAGAAAGGTATGAATGAGTGATACTTGCGATACACTTATGGTTTGGGTCTTAAGTGTTGTCTTAATTGTGATTTAATTTGTAGGAAATTTTTGATCCATTTTTTCGCACAATTTTGTGTGAGTTTTGTAATCAGAAAGTGGTTTAAATACACGTAAAAATGGTTTTATTTTGTTTCGTATTAACCTTCGCTTGAATACGAGTTTTTAATTTGTGTTTTAGTTTTTGTTAATTTAATTGTCGCAGTGTCTGGTGTTTCGTCAGTCACTCGCTCTCTCGCTCGCTCTCTCTCTCTCTCTCTCTCTAATTGTAGAGAAAAATTTTAAATACATTTAAATATAATTATAGTTTAATTTCCTTATAAAAAGGTTTTTCTAATCATATAATTGTAATAATTCTTAAGGTTTTTCTAGTGATATAAAGCGAGTGACAAAACATATTCACTGTACGCATAGAGATAGTGGAAAACAAAACCAAAAAACAAGAACTCATTTCAAACTTATGATGAAAACTGTGTGTGTTTTGTAGTATAAATGTATCGATTGCGAGGGGAAAGGTATGCGTCTGTCTATCTGTCTGTCGAGTGGCAGCCAATGCTAGCTATTGAGATACACGTGTATTAACTGCTGATAAACTCTGGTATTAAAACTCAGTTTAGATTTGAATTAAAGTCGACAGAAAAAACTTGTTTTGCAAAACTTTTTTAAGACTCACTTTTCTTATGCGATAATTAGATAATTATTTAAATATTTAATTGCATTTAAAACTTATGTATAAAAAGAAAATTATATTTAAACACTTTTTAACCCAAATACCAATTAATAGTTTTTAAAACTAATGTTTTAATGTTCTCGTTGATTAGGACCTAAAAAGTGGGTGCCCTTAGAGATACCACCCCCTCCGCCGCCATCGAAACCACACCGGACTAAATCCCAGTCCACTGCCACCGGTGGGGCGCTCCGCGAGCGACAGGAACGGGACCTCCCGGGCCACGGAGACCGTGAGCGCCGGCCGCCGCGAGACAAACCGCGTGAGGACCGGTACCACCAGTCGTCCGGCGCCGAGAACTACCATTCGGACGACCACTCGAAGGGTGGGCCTGGCGGTGGTGGTGGAGAGCGTGAGCGCACCGGTAGTC